TTAACAACTGAAGTTGCCCCAAAAGTTGATACTTTGTCTTGAGAGACAATGGGTTCTCATCACTAGAGGTGCTCCGCTGCGCTCCAGCCCTTCCCTTTCTCCCACTGCCGACCTGCTCAGTTCCTGCCCACAAGGCCCTTACCCACTGACCACTTTACTCATTCAGGTGTCCACTGAGTCCCTGCTCTGCGCCAGGCATGGTTCTTCCAGGAGCTGAGGATATGTCAATCAATAAATCAGAGCAGAACCTTCGCCCCTAAATGGCTTACATAGTGAAAAGTAAATTCTGTCAATTTTAAAGATAGTTAAAGGAAGGGGAGGATACTGTTCACAGTAAGGTAGACCAGGAAGAGAACTGGGAAGAAATTTTAAATAGGGTGGTCAAGACAGACCTCACTGACAAGGTGACATCTAAGAAGCTTCATCAGGAGGACATGATAGAGAGTCCTAGGAAACGCCCTTGCCCTGGGGAGGTAATCAAGTGAGCATTAGCCTAATCCCATCCTTGTCCTGTATTTTTAAGTCATTTACCCCCCCAGTTAGCCTTTATAACTGTGCCCAAAGTAAAGGAAAACAAAGACCATGGAAAGCCCCAGGTGTGGGCCCAGTGCCCTGGGCCCTCCTCAGACACCTGGGGCCAGGCTTTCCCTGCTTCAGAGCAGAACTCCTGCCACCCGGTTCACCTGCTGCTGCCACTTCTCACTCGTGACCACCTGGCCTCCTGTGGAGCTTCCAGAGACGGCAGATTCCCTGCAGGATTCTTTTTCATTCAAATTGCATATTGCTCAGTTTCTAAAAACTCTAAAGAGTGGGTGGGCTGGAAAGGTTTATTTCAGGAAATTGGCAGCCAGGAACTGCCACATTTGTTGGAATTCCAGGGCACAAAAAACATTTGGCAAGAGACAGAAAACACTCTTAAACATAACTCGGTTCTAATTTCCAGACTTCCAGGCGTCAATATATACAGGACTTCAAAAAAAATACTCGGTATCCTGATTTTTCCCTAGTTCAAAGACAATGTCCACTTTCCAATCCTCTCTCTCTAAGACACGACGGCTCCTTTTTCTAGTCCAAGAAGAACTGTTATTTTGCCTGATAGCATTGAAGCACAAGGCAACCTGGCTTAAGAGTTTCCAGCTCTTGGTTCCTGGCAAAGATCAGAAAGATAATGAGACGGGTCCCTTCACTAAAATGATTCTACCTCCTTGGAAGCAGAACCCAGAGCACTGGCACTGGCGAATTTTACACTAAATAGTATACTACACACTTCTGGGCTCACTTCTGTAAGAACAGAGCCCTTCAAACAAACACTAAGTAGATTTCAAAAGTGTCAACAACCAAAACGCTAGAAAGAGACTGCAGTGGCAGTTATCTAGAAAACAATGCACAGAACACAAAGCCCTGGGGAGGTGCACATGCTCAGGGCCTCATTACTCCTGGGGTGTAACTAAAGTGTAGTCAGTTTTAAAACCCTTTTTTTCTTTTAGTTTCCAAGGAGTTACTGCGTGAAGGCCACTGGGAATTACTTCAGCAGGGCTACTAGGAGACAGCTTGGTACTTTTTTTCTTCCTGTAAGGATTGTTTGCAGGACCTCACTTCAGCCAGCTGGCACAACAGAAGCATAGAACCTCAGCATTTTATGAACCAAAAAGGCCTCTGAGGTTCCCTACTCTTAGCCACCCTTGAGAATCTGCTACATTTGTGAACTGGGTCCCTGGATCATACCCAGCTGGCACAGAGTGACAGGAGAGAGGGAGATAAAATCAGGGCCCTCACTGGCTGCACATGGAATTCTGGAAACTCTGAGTTAATAGAAAAGAAAGGTCACTCCAGTAATGAGCTTCCAAGAAGCCTCCCTAGGGGAGAGATGGTGTTCTCAGCTGCCTGGGCTTCAGGAGGGGAACACAACCAGGGTTTCTTGGGAGAGTCCTGGTGATGCCCGCTGTCCAGGCACAGTTCTTAACAGCATCTGATTTCACTCTCCAAAGTGTCACCGGTTGTAGGCCAAATCACATGGTCTTTCTAAGGAAGGATGACTGAGTTTCTTTTCTTTTCTTTTTTTTTTTTTTTTTTGAGACATTGGCTTGCTCTGTCACCAGGCTGGAGAGCAATGGCGTGATCTTGGCTCACTGCAACCTTTGCCTCCTGGGTTCCAGCAATTCTCCTGCCTCAGCCCCCTCCCCCGATGCCCGCCAGTAGCTGGGACTACAGGTGCACCACCACCACGCCCTGCTGAGCTAATTTTTGTATTTTTCACAGAGACGAGGTTTTACCATGTTGGCCAGGACGGTCTTGATCTCTTAACCTTGTGATCTGCCTGCCTCGGCCTTCCAAAGTGCTGGGATTACAGGCGTGAGCCATCTCACCAGGCCAGGTGACTGGGTTTCCAAGGGGCATACGCTCTCCAAGCCCACCACCGCCCTAGAAATGTATAGCATGCAAATTTCTAACATGTTCCTGTTAGGAATGTACAGCATGCAAAATCTTAACATGTTCCTTCCTCCACAGGGCAGAGGAAGCAGAGCATCTCGGCTGGGTACACACTGGAACCACATCGCCCCAGTTAGGATCTTAAGCCCTCACAATTAACAGCAGTGAGACTTGAGACACACTCTCTAACACCTCCCATTTGAAAAAAAAAAAAAAGATCAGAGTAATTGCTAGGAGGATTAATGAGAAAACATTTGTAACATGTACAGAAAAGTGCCTAGCAGTTACCCTGGAGCACTCTTTGAATGTCTGCCAAGCAAAAATAAATATGCAGTTCTATGTCTAATAGGTAAGTAAATTTTTATAAAGGGACGCTGAGGCAAGGGAGGAAAGCCCTTCTCAAAACAGCCTTTGGATTACCCTTCCTACTCAAGGACCTCTCACTAACACAGACACCCTATGCATGTGAGATTCTGGATGGTGCCAGCTAGGGACAGGGTGCCGGGGCGGGGGGGGGGGGGGGGGGGGCGGAGCCACCACTGCCACAAGGCCACCCCTTAATTTCAGGTGGTTTATGATCAACCATATGGCAAATTTAGACACTGAAACCAGCTCAGCCAGAACAAAGAGGCTAAGACAAATGTCCCAGGTTGCAGCTGGCAGTCAGAGGCCAAAAGCCACCAAATAGCTCCCGGGGAAGCTTTTATGAACTCAATGTGAAGAGAGCCATTTGCCACGGTGCATGCTTCGCACCTGCCACTGCACATCCAGGTATGTGATTCAGGACTTCAGAATCATCCCAGGTGCCATCAGAGCACCCCACGGGAGATGAAACACCTCAGCTACAAATTCCTTACATGCAATTCCATGTGATGAATGATAAAGAAATCTTAATTCCTCAGAGACGCTTCTCCAGCACAGACAAAAGTGGGTACTTAGGATAACCACCATGTCAAAGTGGGTATGTCTCATCCGAAATAAAAACAGCCAATCATCTAATATTTGACTTTGTGAAAGTATCACCTTGGGCATTTAGGTTTCAGTTTTACATCATGTTTCAACTTTGCAGACATGATCTGAACTCCTATTAAGACGGTTAATTCTTATGTAACCAAACAATTATTTGGGAACGAATGGAACCGCTGAGGCCATCTAGGCTACACACAGGGGACAGAGCCACTCAAACAGAAGGCCTGGGAGACATGGGTGACATAAACTAGAGGGAAAGGAATGCTAAATACTATCAACCAATGCCGATTAAAAAAAGATTGTAAGTATCCGTACACACAGTAAGATACACACACATCTGTTTTCATGTGATTAGTAGTCTCCGATTCACCTCTTTGTTCTCTATGGTGAGTCACTGAGAGAATGTGATTCCCAAGATTTTAAAATTCTGAACAAATGGAAAGAATGCAAGCAGAGGCACTCCACGAAAACATGAAACATCAGGTTAGGGGGATATTTCTGAACAGAAACAGGAAGTCTTGGCTACAGCCGGGCCTGGAGCAAGGAGACACTTTTCCGCCAGCCTTCCTTTCAGGAAAACTAACACTTTTCCTCCAGCATTTTGTAATAATTACTTTTTAATAAAAGGCCAAGCCAAACTAGTAATTTCCAGCATCAACCTTCAACTGTTAAGGAAGAGAGTTTCACAACTTCCGAAAACAGAGAGAGGCGTGGGACTCATTACCTATTTACTTTAACTTCATTAATTTAATGTAAATTTCCTTCAAAATTACAAGGCTGAGGAGAAAGCCGAACAAGCCCTGATTCAGACTCGACACCCCAGAATTCCTCCAGCTCGCATTTTAAGGAACCTGCTTTAGCGAGAAGTGGGTGGCCCCACGCGATTACGGTTTCACAGCCAGGAGCAGCCGCGGTCCCCGCCAGGGCTGCCGCCACCGGCGCTCGAACCCAGAAGCCGCTCAACAAGTTGCCCGCCGGCTTCGGCTGCGCACCCCAGCGCGCCAGGATCTCCGCGGAGCCTCCTCCCGCACCTCAAGGCCGAGCTTCATTTTCACACGCGGAAACGCCTCCGCCCGCAGGCTCACCTCCGCAGCCCCCCAACGCACCCGCGACACCCCACAGTCCCCTCCGCCCGCTCCCCCTCGCCCCAGCTCGGCCCCCGTCCCTCCCCAACCCCGAACCGCCCGGCGCCCCGAACTCTCCGCGCCTGCGCCGCGCCCAAGGAACCCCCCACCCCCACCCCACGCTGGGCCCCTCCGATGCTCGGTCCTCCGCGGCGGGGAGGGGGGCGGACGGTGCACAAAGGTCACCCCGAGCTCGCGGAGGCGACCCGCGCGGGAAACACGCTCGCCCGCAGGGTGGGGGCGGGGTGCGAGAACCGAAGGAACGACGGGGGGCGCGGACCGGGGTGGGAGCCTCCCAGCCACGGGGGTCCCGCACCTCCCAGCTCCGGGGCGCGCGCAGGGCTGCGGGGCGGCGGCTCCCCGTCGCTCCACCGTCCGCGCTCTCTGGGAAGGTCCTCCGGGGCGCCTCGGAACTGCGCGCCCCAGCCGCCAGCACGGGGGCCGCGCCTCCGGCAGCGCCCGGCCCCGGGTCCCTACCTCCAAGAGCAGCCCGAGCAGCAGCGCCGCCACCGTCGCCGGCTGTCGCCTCATGGCTCCTCGCGTCCTCTCCGGCGCGCCCGGACGCGGGGTCGCAGGCGCGGTTCGCGACACGGCCCCTGCGCGGGGCGGACGGGCGGACTGGAGCCGGGAGCCGGCGAGCGCTGGGGGCCCGGCGGGGAGCGAGCGGGAGCCCGAGCGCGCCGCGCAGCCCTCGCAGCGCTCCGCCCCCGGCCGCCGCTCGCTCCCGACACGCCCGGCCAGGCGCGCGCCCGCGGGCTCCGGGAACCGGAGGCCCGGCCTGGGGCGCGGCTGCGGGGCGCGCGCGTCCGGGGCGGGAGGAGGTGCCGCACCGCCCCGCGAATGGGAGGGGGCTGCCAGGCTCTGCCTCCCGGAGGGAGGTCGTCCTGTCGCCCTTGAAGAGACCCAGGAAGGCTTTGAAAAGAAGCGGGGTCTCCGCGGGAGGAAGCTGTTTGCCTGGGAGGTGGCCGCAGACGAACCCACTGCTCAGTCTGGCATCCCGAAGCCGCTGCGCTCCTGGCTCTCCCCGCGGTTCCTGCGCGCCGCGGGGGCGGTGCCCCCACACCCACGCGTGATGGGAAGGCGGCTGGGGGTGGGAAAGCCCATCGAAATAGAAGGTCCCAACAGCTCGCCGCTCCCTTGAATGTGGCTATTTTTTATGCCAGTGTCCTCCTACGCTGTCCCTGCTTGAACTTGACCGCAACCTCCCCCGCCTTGCAGGGCACTCCCCAGTCGCAGACAGCTGTGCAGAGCTCGCGCTGTGCTCGCCTCCGCTGACCCCGCCTCCATGTCCTCGCAGACATCCTTTTTTCACAGCACAGCTCAGGTCCCACCTCATTCATGAGGTGATTCGGCAAACACTGTTGAACTTGTAAGATGTGCCGGATCCTGAACTGCAGGCTGAAAGGAGGACAGGAAAACTGCTCCTGTCGCCTGGAGGGAGGGAGAGTCGCTTAAACCACCTGATGCAGAATGCTCAGTGTGGAGAGCAGGAGGTAGATGCATCACAGAGGGGCATCAAGGAGTGAGCCGCGCCGCACAGGAGGCAGAAGGAGGGGGGCACACAAACAGATGTCACCCGAGGCAAGTCCCCAACGTTTTCCCAGCTTTCAAAGGCTCATTTGATTAATATAGAGCGTGCACCATCTGACGCTACCAGTTAGAGCCAGAACTTGCAAGTAAGGCAGAAATGATGCCTGTGGCCTTCAGTCATGCGAAGGCACTTGTCCGACAAGCCTGTCAGAGGTCATTGAACTCTAGTAGTTTTGATTTACTATTTACAATGTGGATATTTTACAACTCTTTTTAGGGGAAAAGTTAACTTGTAGTAAACTAAGCTGAAAGCTTGTGGTATGTGAAAGAGACAAATCTTGTTTCTCCAGTGGTGATAGGAGAGATCTCATCCAGTAAAAATGCAAATGGGCCAGGAAGGGTGGCTCCCGCCTATCTTCCCAGCAGTCTGGTGAGTTCAGGTGTGAGATGCTTGAGCCCAGGAGTTTGCCAACAGCAGCCTGGGCAACATAGCAAGACCCTGTCTCTAGTAAAACATGTGTGTGTGTGTGTGTGTGTGTGTGTGTGTGTGAGAGAGAGAGAGAGAGAGAGAGACAGAGAGAGAGTGTGCATGTGTAAGGCAAATGACCCCTGCTGGGGTGAGAGTCATAACCAGCTTCCTATCTGATTTATCCACTTCTTGCCAGCATTTCCTTTCACCTTTCCCCCTGCTTTTGACTGTGTGTGTAGGTCAGTTGCCTGCATTCTCCTTTCAAGCACCTTTGCCATCCCACTGTTTCCCTCATTAATGGGTTAAAATGGAACTTTGGCACGTGTTCACAATGTATTCATGTGCAAATTGTGCTTCTGCTGCATTGTGAGCAACAGACTAGTGTCTGCCATAACCTCCCTCCTGCCTATCTCTGCCTAGAAGATGGTTTTGCTGAGTTCCACTTCCTGTAATTCGTGCAAAGTTTCTTCAAAGTATAAAATTAGAACTGTGACTCTGCTTTCCCCTCAGTCTGACACCTCTCCTGTGTGCTCTCTGGTCCTGAATGATGTGCTGGTTGCTTGCCATGGTTGGAGGATGGGGTGTGGGCTGACCAGCCAGGCTGTTCCTTTGAGAACAAATTACCAGGGCATCAGATACCACTGGAAAAGTCACAAGGTAAAGAACGCTGCGTTTACACTGTGAAAGGGAGTGTGACTTGGGGTCGGAAGAAAGTCCTGGATTAGTTGTTTGGGGCAGGACTGGACATGTCCTGGTCTGTCCAGCTGCCCCTGAGGAGTGAGGACCAGAGCCTGGGGCATGTGTGTTGCCAAAAAAACCCTCAAAAACAAGTAAGAGACTGGGCTTGACCTGCAGTTGCCCTGCAAAACTAGGGAGTCTACGTGAATGATCAACATGTGTTTTATTTATTCAAAAAATATTTATCTACATCTGTTTTGGGTCTAAATCTAAATTTTGTTTAGCCAAGAATCTAAGTTTTGTTTGTCCAGAATCTAAATTTTGGACATTTCGAATAGGACTCATCAGCGAACGAAATAGGCAAAGCAGCAGCATAAAGGACAGAGTGGCTGCTCTCATGTAGATTTCAGTCTAGTGAGGGGTAACAGAGAATAGAATAAATAAATAAATGTGTAAAGTGCCAGAAAAATAAACTGAGTGAAACATTTGGAAGGTAGGGTTAAGTGTTATTAAAAATAGGAGGGTCAGCCGGGCACAGTGGCTCACACCTGTAATCCCAGCACTTTGGGAGGCCGAGGCAGGTGGGTCCCCTAAGCTTGGGGGTTCGAGATCAGCCTGACCAAAGTGGAGATACGCCGTCTCTACTAAAAATACAAAGTTAGCTGGTCGTGGTGGTGCATCCCTCTAATCCTAGCTACTCAGGAGGCTGAGGCAGGAGAATCACTTGAATCCGGGAGGCAGAGGTTCTGGTGAGCCGAAATCACACCGTTACACTCCAGCCTAGGTAACAAGAGCAAAACTCCATCTCAAAAAAGAAGAGGGTCAGGCCAGACCCCTATGGCAAATTGCCAGGAGCAGAGACCCAAAGGTAGGAGAGGGGGCAGAACAAGACTACTAATCAAAGCTTTGAGGCAGGAAAAATGGGCCTGAGGAATTTCCTGACAGGATCAGTAGGGCTGGAGTTCGGTGCTCCCCTAGAAGGGGTAGAACCTATATTCAAAGAAGAAATGGACACCCAGATTTGTAGTCCATTGTAAGGATCTTGGATTTAGTTCTGAAAGAAATGGGATATCATTTGAGGATTTTGAGTTGAAAAGTAGCATAATCTGGCTTAAGCCTTAAAAGCATCAGCCCCAGTGCTGTGTAGAAAACAGACTAGGGGCCGGGCATGATGGTTCACACCTGTAATCCCAGCACTTTGGGAGGCCAAGGTGGACGGATCACCAAGTCAGGAGATCAAGACCATCCTGCCAACGTGGTGAAACCCCGTCTCTACTAAAAATACAAAAATTAGCCAGGCGTGGTGGCGCACACCTGTAGTCCCAGATACTCAGAAGGCTGAGGCAGGAGAATCACTTGAGCCCAGGAGGCAGAGTTTGCAGTGAACTGAGATGGCGCCATTGCACTCAAGCTTAGTGACAGAGCAAGATGCCATCTTAAAAAAAAAAAAAAAAGAAAAGAAAAAGAAAGAAACGGATTAGGGCTGGGTTGGGAGGAATTGTGGAGGGAAGGACAGATGCTAGAAAAGCAGTGAGGAGATGGATGTGATGCTGATACCAGTGTGGTAGGGAAGTCCCCAAATGCCATTGGGATGCTGACATCAGCCAGTGTCTAGGCTCTCAACCCATCGCAAGGAGGAATTCAAGGATGAGTTGAAAATAGTGAAAGTACAGAGATTTATTGCAGAGCAAAAAGCACACACTCAAGAAGGAATTGCTGGCATACCGAAGAGAGTTGTGCAAATGGAGTTTGGGGCTACTACTACTACCTTTATGATTTCTTTAATCAGGGGGTGGGATATTCATAAAAATTCCTGGGGAAAGGCGGAGATTCCTTGGAACTGTGATGCAACCCATTTTTATACCAAACATGGGTGTTGTTGGAAATGTTATGACATTGGTGTGTGATTGAGTATGTTAATGAGTGTATAATGAGGTCCTAGGTGAAATCTGGGTCAAACCCCGTGCAATGTTGGGTCCAGCTTGATCCACACCTTCATTTTTTGGGGTCTTAACAACCCATAGCCTCTAGTCACATGAAACTGCTCCCTGGAATTTTTTATTCTACTGTGACCACCCTGTATTATTCTTGTGTCAATGTGGTCCTCATGGTAACAAAAAAAGTCAACTTCTGTAAAATATTTGAAGAGATTTATTCTGAGGTAAATATGGGTGACAAAGCCCGAGGCACAGTCTTAAGAGGTCCTGAGAACATGTGCCCAACGTAGCCAGGGTTGCACCTTGATTTTATGCATTTTAGGGGGACAGAAGTTATAGGCAGACATTAATCAATACATGTAAGATGTACATTGGTTTGGTCTGGAAAGGCAGGACAACTTGAAGTGGGGATTAGGGGGGCTTCCAGGACATAGATAGATTCAAAGATTTTCTGTTTGGCAATGGTTGAGTTAAGTTATTTTCTAAAGACCTGGAAACAATAGAAAAGCGTGTCTGGGTTAAGACAAGGGATTGTGAAGACCTGGTTCTTATTATGCAGATAAAGCCTCCAGGTAGTAGGCTTCAGAGAGAACAGGTGGTAAACGTCTCTTATCAAATCTAAAAAGGTGCCAGACTCTTAGTTAATATCTTCTGCATCAGGGAAAAGACCTGGAAAGGGAAGGGGATTCTCTTTAGAGTATACATTTAGCCATAAGAGATAGCTTTGCGGGGCCATTTCAAAATATGTCAAAGAAATATATTTTGGGGTAAAATACTTTGATTTCCTTCAGGGCCTACTATCTGTCATGGGATGTTATATAGACTCAGGCTGGAATTTGGTATTTATTGCTACAAAGAGTCTGTTTTGTCAGTCTTAAAATGTTTATTCTAATGTTACTGCTGGGCAGTTGTGCCTGGATTCCAAAGGGAGGAGGGTATCATGAGGCTTGTCCCACTTCCTGTCCCATCATCATCACCTGAACTAGTTTTTTTTTTTTTTTTTTGTGACGGAGTTTCGCTCTTGTTACCCAGGCTGAGTGCAATGGCACGATCTCGGCTCACCGCAACCTCCGCCTCCTGGGTTCAGGCAAGTCTCCTGCCTCAGCC